GTCGTCATTACCTTGTCAGTCTGCCAGATTGCCCAAAGGCCTGGTCCCATATCCATGTTTTCAACTCCCTTCTGAAGGAAAGGAGGGATGTCAATGACCTAATTTCCCCAGGGAGTGAATTCCACAGGGGGCCACCACTGAGAAGGCCCTGTCCCTCGTCCCCACCAGTCTCACTTGTGATAAAGGTGGGACCAAGAGCAGGGCCTCCCCAGAAGATCTTAAACTCCGAGGTGGGACATAGAAGGAGATACATTTGGACAGGTACGCTAGGCCGGAGCCTTCTTCCTAAGGTTCAGGTGGAATTTTGTGGAAATAACTAATGCAGGGGTCCTCAAACTTTTTAAACAGAGGGCCACGTCACAGCCCCTCAAACTGTTAGAGGGCTGGATTATAATTTGAAAAAAAAATAATGAATTCCTATGCACACTGAACATATCTTATTTGTAGTGAAAACAACACAATAATTAAAATGAACAATTCTAACAAATATAAACTTATTAGTATTCCAATGGGAAGTGTGGGCCTGCTTTTGACTGATGAGATAGGATTGTTGTTGTTGTGTGCTTCCAAGTCATTTCAGACTTAGGTTGACTCTGAGTGAGGGCTGGGTAAATGACCTTGGAAGGCCGTATCCGGCCCGCGGGTCTTAGTTTGAGGACTCCTGGTCTAATGAAATCAAAACTTACTGCTGCCAATTTTTGGGACCCCAGCATTGAGCTAAACGAACCCCAGATTGTCCCCTCCACTATTTCCCCACCAGCAAAGAAATATCTGAGGCCATATATCTTCAAGTCTGCCTGCCATAATATCTGAGCTCACATGTCTTCCAAGCCCAACGTATGGATCTGCTTGCTGTGTGAAAGTGTTGCATTTGCCCTGCTGCCATAAATGGCTCTGGGAGGCCTGCCAGTGACTGAGGGGCCCTGGATCCTGGACGATGGAGGATATTATTGGGCAGTTGGAGGGCCTTTGAGTGGTTCTCTAGTGGTTGTCACATGGCCTCTCCGCCACAGCTCAACATTCATCACCATCAGAGGTGCATTACACCCATCCTGCCAGAACACTTGTTGGAACGCTATGCCTCCGAGTCTGGTGGAGACACCTTCCTTGGAAACTTTTAAACCAGTGTCTCTCATCATTGCTTGAATCCACAGTGCTCTCTGGATGCAGGTGAACTACAGCTTCCAAACTCAAGGTCAATGCCCCCCTTCCAGTATTTTCTGTTGGTTATGGGAGTTCTGTGTGCCAAGTCTGGTTCAATTCCATCGTTGGTGGAGTTCAGAATGCTTTTTGATTGTAGGTGAACTATAAATCCCAGCAACTACAACTCCAAATGTCAAGATTCTATTTTCCCCAAACTCCACCATTGTTCACATTTGGGCACATCGAGTATTCGTGTAGAGTTTGGTCCAGATCAAGTTGAGCCCGTACCTTGGGAAGTCTGACTTGGCCACGGTGGTCCATGCTCTGGTTACATCCCGTATAGACTACTGCAACGCTCTCTACGTGGGGTTGCCTCTGAAGACTGCCCGGAAGCTACAACTAGTCCAACGAGCGGCAGCCAGATTACTAACAGGAGCGGGGTACAGGGAGCATACTACTCCTCTGTTGCGCCAGCTCCACTGGCTGCCAATTAGCTTCCAAGCACAATTCAAAGTGCTAGTGTTGACCTATAAATCCCTAAACGACTCCGGCCCAGTTTACCTGTCCGAACGGATTCTCCCCTATGAACCATCAAGGTTGTTAAGATCTTCTGGAGGGGCCCTGCTCTCGGTCCCACCATCTTCGCAATCGCGTCTGGTGGGGACGAGGGACAGGGCCTTCTCGGTGTGGCCCCTCGGCTCTGGAACTCTCTCTCATTGGAGATTAGAACTGCCCCTTCCCTCCTGACCTTTAGAAAGTTGGTGAAAACTTGGCTTTGGAATCTGGCATTTGATGAGTGAGGCAATGACTTTTGACCACACCAACGGATGGGGTTGAATAGATGAATAGTTATTTTATCTTAATGATTTGGCCTTATATAATTATATGATAGTACTTTAATGTGTTTATATTAGTGCATTATTGGATGTGATGTTTTTAGTTTTAAATTGTGTATGAACGCCCTTGTTGTAAACTGGCCTGAGTCCCTCGTTGGAGGTGAGAAGACCGGTAAATAAAAGTCCTAAATAAATAAATAAATAAAATAAACTACAACTCCAAAACTCAAGATCAATGGCCACCAAACACTTCTGTTGGTCATGGGAGTTCTGTGTGCCAAAAAGCATGCTGAACTCCACCAATGATGGAATTGAACCAAATTCCATCGTTGGTGGAGTTCAGAATGCTTTTTGATTGTAATTGAACTATAAATCCCACCAACTACAACTCCCAATATCAACCCCAACCTCACCAATATTCAAATTGGGGCACATTGGGTATTTGTGCCAAATTTGGTCCAGTGAATGAAAATACATCCTGAATATCAGATATTTACATGACGATTCATACCAATAGCAAAATGACAGTTGTGAAGCTTCTTGAGAGGCTTTTAAACAGAGGCTGGATGGCCATCTGTCGGGGGTGCTTTGAATGCAAATTTCCTTCTTCTTGGCAGGGGGTTGGACTGGATGGCCCATGAGGTCTCCTCCAACTCTAGGATTCTATGATTCTATGATCTGAACATGAGGAAGAACTTCCTGACTGTGAGAGCTGTTCAGCAATGGAACTCTCTGCCCTGGAGTGTGGTGAAGGCTCCTTCTTTTAAACAGAGGCTGGATGGCCATCTGTCGGGAGTGCTTTGAATGTGATTTTCCCGCTTCTTGGCAGGGGTTTGGACTGGATGGCCTATGAGGTCTCTTCCAACTCTATGATTCTATTTGGGAGTTGTAGTTGCTGGGATTTATCCAGCACTTTTTAACCTGTACCCATCATTGGCCCGGCCCTGTTTTTAATGTGTAATAGTGTAATGTTTTTGTCATTGCTTAGGTTTTTGTCATTTGCTTTGTATTGTATTGTTATTGTTTGCTGTTGTTGTGTTGAGGCCTTGGCCTTTGTAAGCCGCATCGA